GGTATCATTAGAAATAGATTATTTCTGAATCGAATATCAGTTTGAAGTTGTGATGTTAATGCAGAAATTTTTCCTTGAAGTTCATCAATTTTTGCCTAAAAGAAATTATAATTCATATACAGTGATTGAATTACAAAGATCATGTAAAGAAATGAGCTTACCCGAACCAAATTAACCCGACCTTGAGATTCTTTTGCAGCAGCATCATGACTGTATCCGAACATTCCAATCCCTAATCTCAATCCACTACTACTAGTACCTCGTCTCTGTTGTCCAACATAAGGATTTCGAAGATTTCTCATTTTTAATCCAGCCGTTTTAAATGTAGCCGCATAATTAATCTTTGATATCCAATCATTCATTTCTGCTTCATTTTCAGCTTGAAATAAATATTGGTGACCTTTTGGACATACCAAACGAAAGACATTTTTATATTTCTCATAATTCTTATCATATACTGCCACAGAATCCGCAGTCATAAGTATTACATCTGGTTTTAAAACAGGTAATTTTGCAGATTCCTGAAAAAAAACCATATAATTCAGAAACGAACGAACATAATCCGTAATCATATCATACGTATATTGATATATACATTTACACAGTGACTTGATATAGCGTATTGTTTGGGCAATTAGAGAGAAATTAACTAAAATCCGCAATATTATGAGTTTATTAATAAATCCATTATATCAAGCGAATTTATTAGTGTGATCTAAACCTTGATCCACTGTATCAAGGTTTTACTTTGGTTCCGTTATATTGAGAGTCACTGTGTACATATGTTGTAAGTGGGAATTTCTGGAATTTTTAGGGCTAGGGTGTAGGTTTATATAAAATAAATTCTACCCTAAAATTGTAATTTTATTAAAACATTCCAAATCCACTTAAATTCCGTTCCTACTTACAACATACGTATAACATAAATGTAACAGATAAAAGCAAACCTTTTCTGAATTCTTTAACTTTTTCATTTGTGCATTAAATCCTGTTTCATCTTTAAAGAACATTAACTGACTACCACTCAATATGACACCATATATTCTCCAACTTCTTATGAAACCAGT